AATAGATTTAACTAATTTCGTTAGCTTCATGAACTAACTGAAATCAATTGAAATACTATCAGTATTTTAATTGATTGAATTAATTTACTTGGTTTAATTGGTTTATTTAAGCTAATTTATGTAATGAATTTAATTTATTAATGAGTTTCATTAATTACAGTATTTTCATTTTTAATTTATATGAATTTAAATATTTCAATTAATTCGATTAATGTAATTTAATTAGTTTAAGTCATCGAATTAATTTAATTTTATTTCAATTAATGCAGTTGATTTAATGAATTTGTTTAGTTTATTTAATTTGTTTAATTCATTACTTCAATCAATTTAATTATTTTCTTCAATGTAGTTCATATCATTAATTTAATTAGTTGCGTTAATTTTTTGAATTTAATTAGTTCAATTATTTTAATTACTTCAATTATTTTCTTACTTTGATTAGTTTAATTAATTGAATTAGTTGAATGAATTTAATTTATTTTATTTTTTTGATTCTTCTATTTAATAAACCTATTTTCTAATTAATTTAATTAACTTAACTAATTTCATTAATTTGATTAGTTTAATTAGTTGATTAATTTGACAAATTATATTGATTGAATTGTTTTTGCTCATTTAATCGGTTTAATGAATTTAATCATGTTAATTCAATTAATTCGGAAGATTTCAAAAATTGATTAATGTAGTTAATATAAATTATTCAAATGCAAACGGACTTCGATACCTAGTCCGATTCTATGGTGTCGCTATAAGAGCTATGAGTTGTACCATGTGCAGTCAAGAGCAAAGTCACGTTTTGCGTACTTTGACTCTAAGTGTTCGCCCATGGGTTCGCTTGCCGAACCATGGAACAGCACTGTACGTTACACCCCGCCAACGCAACTTTGGCTCAAGAAACTGACGCCAGTCATAGCTTGTAGCATTTGTAGCCTTCTGTGACCTCAAGAGGAACAGAGCCATCCCGTGCATAGACGACTCGTCGCGCCTCTCGAACGACAAAACCAGCGAGTACCGAGTCTGCCTGCCAAGGACTGGGGTCTGAAGCGTGGAAATGTGGAGAGAAAGATTATCGAGCCTGTTGAGGGCAACCACTCAATCATTAGCTTGTCCCGGCAATAATCATCGAGAAACGTGGCTGGGGGAATCTATGACCATTTCGAAAGCACTGTGAGGAGGGGTGGGCACGCAATGATGCTCCGAGAGTTATCTTTTCTGGCCAGCGCTTGGCCGGGTCAAAGCTTGTCCTGCCCACCACTCCATCCACCCGTCCTACCCGCTCATGCCTTGCATCGCCTTCATCCGCACGTTCACCCCATACCATTCGACCTTTTCTTCTCGGGAAGTTTTTGTTTAAAGGCATGCCCGTCCCCGACCATCTCAACTCAGCCATGCCATCCTCCGTACGGCCAGTCAGCAGTTAGTGCCAAGTTGCATCTTCCATCAAGACGTCCTTTCAATGAGTAGAGAAATGGTGCTGAGTATCCGCGAAACCGTTTGGCGAGCATTGTGTGGTAAGGTGTGGGTGGTGGTATGCGATAGAGCGGTGTGACGGAATGCAGAAGAAGAACATGGGCTGAGGTAGGGCGACATCTTTACGAGCAAGAACTCAGGCAATGCTGCAAGGGTGGTAGGAGTGATAAACGCAGTGCTCGTCTGAGTGCCATGAAGCCTGTCCAACCATTCCCCGTCCATTGTATGCACCCATTCCCACCCAAGCACGCCCGACATCATCACCCGTCCTCCACCCCATCCCCCCATTCCATTTTACCAGCCCCGCTGAGAGTTTGTTTGAGAGCCAGTCATGCCCATCCCCAACCATTGCCTTTCAGCCTTGCCTTTTCATTTTAGCCAGGCATCAATTGCTAGTGACGGTTGAGAAGGGGGTTGTGGGTGTGATCTTAACACCCTTTACAGCCAGGTTGTATGTTCCATCAAGCCATGAAATGTACAATGAGAGATGCTTTTGAGGATCTGTGAACCTTTTTGAGCATGTTTGAAAGCCTGGTGGGGTATGGTTCGGGTGGCAGGACGCAATGTACGGTGGAACGCAGAGTGAGAAGGAGGTCAGGGAATCGGATGAGGCAGGGTGACGTAATGGCATGCAAGAATTCATACAAAGATAATGCCCCCTTCCTCCCAATCATGTCCGTTTAATTTAGCCGGCACTCTTCGTCTGACCATCCCTGCGTTGGTCGGTTAGTGCCTGAAGGGTGGTCGTTGGGACGTCGAGACTGCTTTCAAACATGTGTGAGAACATCCTGAGAGGGCGATGGGGTCAGGTGCTGTGGATGGGTTGGCAGAAATGGGTGGTTGGGTGGAGGAGACAAGGCACCTGACACCCTTCATGGTTGAGTTGTGTGCTCCACCAAGCCATGCCCCAGCCAAAAGTTATATCAGGTTTGCCAGCCCGAGGCGGGCTGGTTGACGGCCTGGAAACTGCTCTGAAGCTGTTCGGATTTTGGGGGACGATGGTACGGCTAGGTGCTATTGACGGGTTGGAGAGAGCGTGGGCGCATGGACGGAAGAAACACAACTTGTTTATGCCCTTCATAGCAACGTTGTAGTTTCTATCAGGCCGATGCCCCTGCAATGAGAATCTGTGACACCTCACAGGCAAGTTGAATCCTCCATCAAACCATGCGCCTGCTGCAAATTTAGAAATCGCTGGTACTCGTACCATCTACGGTCGCGGGTGGGATGAGAGCTGATGAGGATCAGGGGTGTCAGCAACAGCCGTGGGTTAGGTTCCAGGTTTTCGGGACTCACAGAAACAAACACTTTCACAACGAGACGACCTCCGACACAAGATATGCTGAACAATTGTGCTAAGGCTATGTGCTAGTGTTCTTTGTGTAGAAACGAAAGGAAGCGTCACATTATACATAAAGGTCCATGCCACTTGTTTGCTCCAGTTTCGTACACACGTTCCTGAGGAGATGATTTGCTGCTTCGAATTTACTGCATCAGACAAGTTTTGTTTAATGACACTAATTAGTCAATTTTGTCCTGTGTTCTGTGCTAAAGTTGGTGCTGGTGCGTCGTTGAGTTGCTGTTTCTGCACTTCCTCCACCATTACCTACACTTGATTTTGGTATTTCCGTATATACATGAACGACCCATTAACAATCCTAGTTTATGGTATGGTATTTGTGTCATTCAGTGTCAAGGTCATATATCATTATTAGCAACAAAAGCAGCAAAATAAACAATTTCTATTGCTTGCTCTTACGAGCCTGTCGCGTAGGCACTGTTTGGCTTTGGGCTTCTGTCATGTTCTGTCTGGTTTTCGTGCTAAGCAAAAGTCCAGAGAAGTGAAACGCATAGGTTTCCACAGCGTCCTCCACCCCAGAAAACATGAGTCTTGGCTTCAAGCCACCTTCAGGGTATCGTTCTGGGTCCACTCAGAATACACATTTTTGAACCCCACTCCGATTCCTGATTTGACGGTGGCGCAAATCGTGTTCCTGTACTATATGATTTATAATCATGAACGCTTGGAAAATCCAGAGCCGACTGGGTTTTCTAGCGCTTCACTTCGTTTAGATGGCGCTTGACGTGTTTGTGTGTGCGTGTTTGGTGAGTTTAATACAGGTTGTAATAAATGCAGCATTCCTGTGCGTTTACATTATGATGTTTTTGACGAATTCGTGGTGCATGTTTGGTGGGTTTGGTGTAGGATGTGATAGATGTGGTGCAGGATATTGTAGGATGTGATAGATGCGGCATTTCAGCGCATGTAGATGGTGTTTGACGAGTTTGTGGGGCATGTTTGGTATAAGTTTGATGTAAGATGTGATAGATGCAGCATTTCAGCGCGTTTAGATTGTGGTTGACATGTCTGTTATGCATATCTCGACATTATTGGCGTGACTTGTGTTTACTTGGCGAAATGCTTTCTATCAGATCATGGCGCATTACACGCATGCCATTTCGCGTGGAGTTTACTTGGGGTCATGGGTGGACGGCGTTAGTTGTGGAAAGCAACTTGCAGGCCAAGTGGGCGTGACTAGGGCTTGAGTGAAGTGAGACAAACAGCAGGGGGACAGCCCCAACGAAACACAGGTGGGAGGCGCGGCACGGAAACGATCACGTTGAAAATGGAGCTGCAGCATCCGCTGCAGTGGGTGACCATGCAAGTCGCAGCAAACTGTGCGCCTCCGCTCCGAATCGCCCGGGCGGGCGCAGACCTGAGCCAACCGGTGGCTCCGATGCACGCCGACAAAATTTGGACGTCCTCCTAAATCTGCAAAGTTCCAACCTGAAGCGGAGGTCCACTAGCTCATCGCTTGCAATGAACAAAGGGATTTGTGCTTTTCAACCCTTGACCACGTGCTGGTTCGCCTTCCTTCCGCTCTTATTCCACCGCCCTGGTAGTCTCGCTTCATGCGGGTGGGGCCTGCGTCATGCCTACTTGTACTGCCGGCGACCGCGGCTGTATGCAGCCGTCGGACCCCATGCGCGCCCTTACAGCTGCCTCCAACGGCAGCCTGCGTCGCCTCTTCCGCCGCTGAGCAGCTTTGGCGGGTTCGCCCCTCGAGGAGAGGCGACGGGCGAGTGCTACAAAGCATGTTTGACAGAATTTCGGCGCCAACGGGTTCCGAAAGCTGGGACGGTTCCTGCAGCAGTTGCGGCAGCACCACTTGCAGCAGGACGAGTAGTGCATCGTAGATATCGTAGTACCGCACCACTGGTGCTACGTAGTTGTCGTGGTGCAACCGTAGCAACCACAGCAACAACAACAACTGCAGCAGCAGCAGCAGCAGCAGCAGCAGCAGCCCAACACCAACACCAACACCACCAACGAGAAGAAACAGAACAGCATCAGCAACAGCAAGACCAATGTGGTAATTCCGTGTAGCGTGCGTGGTAAGCCGGCCGAGATGCAGGCGGAAGAAAAAGTTTGAACAAAATTGAGGTAGGTGCTCCACTTATTTTGCTGTCCTCCGCCTTCTCCCCACCCTTGAAGGGGCGTTATGTCAGAATCAAGAAGTGCACGCGAGGCGAGCCAGCAACCAGGCCTTTAAGCGCCGTCCCGGAGGCAGGTAATGACGTAGCTGAAACGATACTGTCAACGAATCGTTATAGACAAGTGAATGGGCCAGGAGGAGATGCTGCGGTGGTCCCAGGCCTGGCCGAAGAGCTTTGTGAGTGTGATTGCTGGACAGTTGCTGTGTGCTGCCAGCTAAACAGGTAGGGCGCCGGAACAAAAGATCCACACAATATACAAGCATCGCATAGCATCGCCGCAGCTTTCGGGCAAAACACATTTGACGCTGAGGTGGCGAAGCTTGCTGTTAAAGAGGCCCAGTTGGAGGAGGCGCGGCGTCACACCTTCTATCTAGGGGCTTCAATGGATGCTACCCACGCTGTTGCGACTGGTGCTGACACTGGGTTAGGTACGTAAACGGCAAGCGAAGAAGACAGCACAGAAAGTCATGTCCTCTGGAGTGTTGTCGGTATACATAGCCTCCCAGAATCCACGGGGGATAACTGTCGGCCTAAGGAAATGCAAGAATATTTGAAACGGCAGATCGACCAGAAGGTGCATCTGCATGAGCTTTCACTGATTTGCTGTATGCTGCACATCACGGCAAAGCTTGGCACTGAGACCGCCGACAAGCAGAAAGCAGCAGAGCTTGCTGTATCCCCAGTCAATGCAACCTTTGACATGTGGTCACCGTTAGCTTGTTGCGGATGGCTTCTCCAAGGAGAAGAAGCTCTTCGAAGTGCAACAGGCACTGGACGTATCTAAACGGATACAGCATTTTACAGCATTGGGGGAACGAAAACTTGCATGTGGCACAACGCACGCACCGGCACGCGGCACGCCGGTGCATGCATGCACCAATGGTGCACGCTCGCGCACGGACACATAAACGAACAAGGTATACATATTTAAGATGTACATACATACTTCCTTACTTACATACCCACTCACAACTTCACGCATGAATGCAGAAGGCCGCTTGCTGACTAATGTGTGGGTTTGATTACTAACCCCCCTGCAGCCAAACGCTTGAGGTGGTTGGAAAAATAGTGGGAGGGAGGACTAGTAGTGCTAGTACAAGTACGTAGTAGTCGTAGTCAACTTAGCAGGGGCTCGCCATGCAAAAAAGGCCGCCCGAAATAATTATCTTATCATTAAACCCAATTTTCGTTGTTTGGGCATCCGAGGCCCGGTTGATCGGCAAAACCGGCCCGAATAGTTTTTTGTTCATCCGAACCCATTTATTCATCGAACGTGAACATTAAGAGCGTGCATTCTGGCGTGAAACCAGTGTGTCCGCCGGAACAGGAACATATGTGCCGACACCTTGCGCAAGCCGAAGCTTTTCATGATAGTTTATTCTGTCCGGATGCATCTAGAAGCTTGGAATATGTCCCACTGGAATGGTCAGTGGTGTACTTGATTTGTTTGTAATGTTTTGTTCTTAGAGGCTACTTTGATTCTGTCGTGTCGTCGCTAGGGGCATCTTCGAGTGTGGGTGCGAAGAGCGGGTTGCAAAGTTGCCCCCCGCAGCTGCGACGACAAGTCCAAAGTAGAGTTCCACCAGGAACAGCTGGGTTGATTGCAGGCTGTTTGCGTTCTTGTGCCATGTGCTGACGTTTTGAGATACCGCTTGCTACGAATGTGTGGAGCAGTCAGCGTTGCACTGCTTGGCCGTGGATTCAAGAGAATCCGGGCGCCGAATCGTTTAGTCGTTTAGTCAAGAGTTTGCTCGAGCATGGTCAGATTTGTTCAAGCCGTTCTTCGACTCTGCGGTTGTGTAGGCTTGGACGGGCATGGTCTCAGGCAGAGTTGGAGCGCTGGAAACAAGACCAAACCGTCCCTGCCTTAGATGACAAAAGTGAAAACAGCAGCGTTTCCATAAGTTAGGCGGCAAGTGTAAGCGCCCGGCACAGGTTCAGGCCGAAGAACGGCTACGAAGGGTACAGCAGGTGGACCCGGCTGCCTTTGGCTGAACGTATGCTGAAAAAGGAAGAAACGCATTTGACGGCGACCTGCCTTTGGTACGGTCGTGCGTGCGCGACTGTGTATTCACTACATCTAGTTTGGAATGTTCGAGGTCATGCCTGAAACTCTTATTTTCAATTGTAATTGTAGTGCACCCTCAAGTCTTCCTTGGCAGCAGGCTAGTCAGTCAATCCGTGAACATGCCAATGGCATCATGCAGCAGCTGAGTGACAAAGCATCATTGCATCTACGAATAGTTCTCTGGGCATGTAGCAAGAAGGCAGGGGCCACAACACAGCCGATGCGCTCGTTGGGTTGAAACTGCCGTCGCAAGGTGCTCGCAGGTGGAGAGCTAATCGGTTTGGTTTGTACATCTTACATCATCTTACACAGGTCGCGCCATGAAACCGCAAACGTGCAGTCGAAGCGAATGAGACTCTCAACGTCTTTCAACAACGTGACACTCTCTTGCAAACGCCCCCCCCCCCCCAGCGTTCTGAACCTCTTAAGGCCTTGGCAGTGGGTCTGAGTTGCAATTGTAAGCCAGGTCGTCCGGGATCGAGAAGTTCAATCTGCCTGCCCCCTACGTTCCACGGCTGCGCACGTTTCCGCAGTCTTGCTGTCAGGAAGAAGTGAATCGAAAGCGAGAAGCTGAGAAAGAGCAAAAGCTCGAAGAGGATGTTGGCTAGCTCATGGCTCCATATGGCTTCGTGCACCATGGACGGATATCGAGATCCTCGATCTCTGACCTGAAAGTGCCTTGAGGGCGATTTCGTGTCCAATTCCCGACTGTTTGCTCACGCCCTCGACCTTCTGAATGCTAGCACTTTTGTCAGACTGTTAAGACCGAGCACCGACCGGCACCGTTGCGAGAATTCAATTCGCTTCCGGCAGACTTCGGCACGTCTCGGTTCGACAGCACAGCATTAGAGGAACTCAGGAGTCCTGCTTCGACTAAGCGGTGCTGCGTTCTTCGCGGTCTCGTGAGGCTCATTGGAAAACGTGGATGTATGGTCCGGGCTGCTACACACCCCACCCCCCCCACCCCCCATGGTATCCCCACCCCCTGGCCCCCCTCCCAGGGCTGCCTGCGACAGCCATCGAGCTGGTTGGGATCCTCATGACAGTTCTCGTTTTCGGAGGATGGGCTCGACATCGCGATGTCAAACCGACAAATTGTCGCTGGGATTGGGCTTTTTGTGTAACACTCGCAGGTTTTCGACATGAGGGGCAACTTCCCATCTTGAACATGGAATAAGCAGCGGGCGCGAGATCGCATAATAACTGTCTGTTTTTTTGCGGGGGAAGGTTGCAAAACACCGTTCGCACCGGAACCGAACCCACCGCCCAAACCACAGGGGGGAGGAGGCGTCGGGTGGTAATGCAATGCTCCGCGAGTGTACCAGAGCGACGGCTTTCCCACAGCGACCAGCGACAGAGGCACCATCGGCAACGGAAAGCAGGGAAAACCGCTACCTCCAGTGTAGTATCGCATCAGCTTGTCTTGTTCTATGATCTTGGGTGGGTCGAAGCAGTAATTCTTACTCGATGTCTCGCCAGCACTGCCACGACAATCACCCTGTTGCATCACGTGAAGCAAGTGTGCATAGGACAAACGCCTCGTATTACGTGCCGCGCAAGAAATTGAGTTGGAAAAGAAAGCCGCGCAGGCACAGCCGACATGTTCACGAAGCCCCGAGAACTTCAGTAGGAATCTCCTTCTATGAAAGGCCAAACGAGAGCAGACGAAGCTTGCCCAGCTGGCTTTGGTTCAGGAAGTTGGACAGGACACCCTGTCGCTGATTGTGGCAGCCTGCCAACATCTGCCAACATACTCCATTGATTTCAGGATGCTCCAGGGCTGCATCCTATGCGCCTCTGCAGGATCAAGCGAAGAGGAACCAAGCGCGGCGGCGACGAATCGAAGAAGAGAAACGGGCACTGCAAGAGTACGCCGCCGCCCTACCGTCGCTTAGCACAGGACCGTTCAAAACTCTGCAACAAGCAAGAGACGGAGTGACCTGTAGGTATTCCAACCCAAATGTCCTAGGCTGAACTTCTGGACAAGCAGGAGGCCCTTGGTGCTTGAATTTTGGCGTGCACGTGCGTGAGTTTCAGTCGTTTTGTGGTAATGCGACTCATCCGTGAGATTTTACGGCCCTCGCCACGCGTGCCAGGCCCGAAGCAAGGCGACCAAGCCCAAAATCCGAGACCAGGTCCCTGCAGCTCCGCCAAAGGTGAAAAGAAAAGGGGAAGAGCTTTGGCTGCATGTGCATGAGTGGTTTTTGAGGTTTGCTACATGTATGGAAGAGTCCTGTGCGAGGCGACAGCGGCCAGAGTCATCTTTGGCATTCACGAGCGAGACATGTTGTTTGTTGGCATATGCTTGTGAGATCTTGTGAGCTTGTACCGATGCCAGTTCCCGTGTTCGAACGTACCTTCTTCCAAATCTTCAGTGTCCCTGACCCGCTTCGTTCTTTCGAAAGCGTGGTTCCGGCAGGCCCAATGCATCCCAATGAGTTGAAAGATATCCTTTGTTGGTTGGGCACTGCCGGAAGATCCCGGACAAAGTTTCAAGATGACCTGTTACTCGATGGCCTTTGCAAATCTCCATGCGGGTCAGATGTGCAAAGCGTCAGGGTATCAAGGATGTGCATGACAGAAAATTGATCCCCAAGGGGCAGCACTGACCCCGACATAGCCCGACACGGCACTCGGGTCAGTCATCTCCACCGACAGAGCCGAAACGAGCTTGCACCGCACTGCAGACTCAACTAACTCCACATCCAGAGCGAATAAGAGTTTAGGACCGAACATGCTGGCATCGCGAAAGGCTTTTCGACAGGTTCCGAAGCGAACAGGCCGCCTTTGCCGACCATGTCCGAGGTATTTGGTTCATTCCTACCAAAGTCGAATCACCGTGGAGAGACGGACGAACCAACATATCAGATGAAGGTTTGTAACTGAAAACGCGAAGTGCCCAAGCCCTGACCTTCTCGCTCCCCCGAAAAAATCTGATGGTAGCCTTAGGCAGATGTTGCAACTCACACAGATTGCTTTTGTGGTTGCTTGTTTGATTGTAAATAAAGTCTTATAGACGCAATCATCAATTCGCTAGCTCAAAGCATCGCGAACAAGAGTGGCCTGTCCTTCCAGCATGTGTGCTGATCCGAACGAGGTGAAGTTCTGGAGCTCTCTTGTTTGTCCACTGTTCGTCCTTGAACCTCCCAGTAAGGCCAATTGACCCACTCGCCGTGCTTCCCACAGAAGAAATAGGCCCGTGTATAGGCATTATAGGCAACTTTGCACCTGGACATTCGAGGACAAGTCGCCTTTGTCATGCACAGTTCGCCAAACCGGTCATCAGACTGGAGCGCCTTGCTACTGAGGAACTGTACCACGACCCGGAGATGGTTACGAGAATACACAACGAAGCAGTTGCAAGAGCAGAGCAGGCCACAGGAACCGGGGGGAAGATGCGAGAAACAAGCAGTGGCACCGCGATCTGGTGCTGTTTCCACGCCAGGCAGACCTGAGCAAGCAGGCGCAGTTGAAACTTGAGCGACGCAAGAACCAGGCCAGGGACAAGCAGGGTACTTGCAACTCACGCGTCGCACCTTTCGGTGCTCATGGTGCAGTGTTGGGCTATGGCTTTCCCGCAAGCTTCGGGGTTCAGTGCTGATCGACGTATACACCCCATCCGGGATGATGCATCTGTGTCCCTTGCAGGACTTTCTCTTCCAGCAGATCGCAGAACGGGACCGGTGTCACGGGATGTGCGGTGTTGCAGTGCAGAAAGCGAGAGCAGATGCAGCTGGCACAGGATCAGCAGAAGAGATTGCTGCAGGAGCAGAAAGGTGGATTGAAAGTTGCTGCTCAGGACAGGCTCTGACACTACGCGACCTTAATTTACGATTGCCTGTCACGCAGGCAGCAGCTGAAGAGCATCGTGTAACCGAGACGCACCAAATGCGCGAGCGGAAGAAGCGATACTTGCAGCCAGATGCTGAATCCATTTTGACAGCGGCGGCCGATGCCGGCACTAGTTCACAGTTTAGTGATGGCGAGGTACCGGTTGGATTTGGAGGGCCAAATGCGAACCAAGCAGACAACGCAGCACACTTTGGAGGACCCTCGGGGCAAAGGCGGAGGGGCAAGTTCGGCGACATTCGATGTCTGTCGATGTCTAATCAAATCTGTTCCCTATGTAGCCAGAGGACCAGATGAGCGGGGCAGAAAAGGCAATCAATCGTCGGTATGTCTTCGAGGCCTGCATGCTTTCTCGATCAGTCGTGGCTTGCAATGCCAGACGTGTCGATGGCCACACACCAGGCACTGCAGAAGACTTCGGACCCCGAGGCGACAGCTGGTGCTTAAAAATGCTGTTTGCTGCTGCACTGAAGACGGCACGAGTTTTTCGCCAGGCATTGCCAGCGCCATGCACGGCTGAAACTGTGCCTTAGTGACTGCACCGAAGATGTTGGTAACGATGTTCGCTGATATGCTTAAAATTGGCTGGACATCCGCTGAAGTGCGGAGTTGTCCATCAGCGACGTCGTCTGCGGAACACTTGCAAAACTGCCTGCAGAAGACCCCGGTTTGGTGTTCAGATTGATGACATACTGCCACATGAAGCTGAGCAGGTTGCGGGCTGGAAGGAAACCGGCCAATGGGAAGAGTTACAGAGAAAGCAAAACCTAAGCCCTACAGGGAGAGAGAAAGCTGGACAGAGCAAAGAAGAGAGACAAAGAGCAACAGCGAGCGAGATTTTCCGCCACAAGGAATGACAGCGGCTTCTGCGATGGGTGCAGATCCTTCAGGCTTGAATTTCTCGTGTGTGCGTTTCAAAACCAACAACTACATAAAGAGCTTCCGCGTCCGTTGTCCGTGCACGACTTCCAGTTCTGGCTTCTATCAAGAAACGTTTAGCGAACCTTTCTGAAATCTTCTCTGCACCAGTCCTTGTGGAAGCTCAATCATGTGAGCAAAGGAGCATGCAAAGCTGCACGCCAGCCAGTGAAGACCACGATGCCGTGGCGCACGCCTGTCGGAGCCCGTCACACTTGGCGAATAGGACCCACACTTGCCTTTGCCTTTTACCAGTTGTTTCCTTTTGTTGATTGGCGGGCGTCGGTGGTGGGAATTTTTGTCTTCCGTGGCCATTCTGGTCTCAAGGATCACACCCGAAGTTTTATACTAGGGTCGGTTCACCTTCAAAAGGTGTGTGTGTGTGTGTGTGTATGTGCGAATTTATGGACCTGGTGGTCGTCCCTGAACCTCTCGACCTGGACATACCTGGACGGGAACAGGAGCCCCAGGTTCTGGATATAATGCTCTTTGCTGCTTTTGCTTTGGGCCTCTGCTGTGGGCAGCGATCCGTTCACACAGCCGGCTTTGGTGCAAACTCGGCACGCCAACAACACCTTGGAGAGGGGCCCAGATCGCTTGGAGGGAAGTCAATTTCACAAGGAGCAGGCATCCCAGGCTCCTGCCCCCTCCAAGAGACCAATGCCTACAAATTTATTTTGAAGAGGAGCACCAGGCGGGCCTCTACTCCAGGCCCTGGCGCTGTGTTGCACGATGGCCCGACAGAGCCGACAAACAAGACGGTGATCCTCATGCTGGACAACCACGGCGTCGTGGGCATCCTGGCGAAGGAGCTCTGCCCAAATCCTGCAGAACCCTCTGAGGCGGATCACGGCGCTGGAGCTGGCCTCCTCTGTGCGCTTGCCGGTGATTTAGGTGGAGAGTGACGGGAACCTTGTCGACAGGCCAAGTCCATGCTAAGTCGATGAATTTCGGGCAGGATAACCATGGATGACCTACTTACTTTTCCTTTCGCAACTGAAAGCTCAAGTGACTTAGCAGGTGGGTAGGGAAGGTGGGCGGGGTGTGGTCACGGCAGCGCTTTGAAGAACGGCCCGAATGCCCCTCACAGACTACCTCAAGTACATTCAAGTACTAATAGTACTATACTTTGCCGGGGGCTTGGCCACCAAATGGAACTCATACTTGGCCCTGTGGACCAACACCACAGCCAAAATGGTTTAGGGTTTATGGGTTCATGGTTAAGGGAGTTGGGAATTGACAACTGCCAGATGAGGGAGGGCTTCCAAGCAAGCGCGCCTCGGGAGATGCTTCGGGGCAAAGCTGTCCTGGTCAGACGCACGAAGATTGTAAGAAAACTGGAGCGCAAAGCCTGACGGTTTCAAGTTGTAGCTCCTACGACCGAATCCAGGTAACACCTTGTTGCTACTGAACGATTTGATTCTTACTATATACGTCACAGAAAATCTTTTCCTTCAAGTTCTCTTGCACTTGATCGCGGCGATTCATCCTTTACTGAAGAGCGGGGCCCGAAGGCTTATGCAAGTGACACGTTGAGTGGGTTGGGTCGGTTAGGGCATTCCATTCCATCCAACGACAACGAGCCGTTGAATCACTATCACTAACCACTGATGACACTTTTGTGCGCACCGCGGCGGCTAACTACTGCAAGCACAAATCTCCAGGAGATCCCGTATCACAAGTTTTTCCAGGGCTGCAACGCAAGCGTCTGAATGAACTTTTGAGCAAGCTCAACATTACAGCTCCGTACCGATGGGAAACTTTGCAGCTAATAACCCGTCCAGTGTCGGTCTTGCAGGCAGGTGGACTGCATTTCGCACACGCGCATCTATCTTTGTGATGGGACGGCCTCGGTTGTCGGCCGCTAAACTGCGCCAAGTGCGAGCACTGGACATGAGTCTGATTGACTCTCCCCACCCACCCGCCCTGTGTCCAAACTTTGTGCCTTCCAGACTTCACTCTTGAGCCGGCTACTTTGAGCTGCGTCGACAGGGTGATCACTGTGTCTCCCGACAAATGATCCTGACCGCTGCTCGTGACAAAACAAGTGTGGAGAGGTTTGAGCTCTATATTCCTACTACTGCTACTACTACTCCTCCTACGACTGCCATGCTTCCTACTCTTGTACAGCATACTACCCGTAATCAAGATGAGCACAAGGAAAACATACTCATGTGTGGTTATCAGGTCCTTTAATTTTGGGGTTCGGGAGTTCAGGGTGGGCAGAGTTCAACGGCCGATAGACGGGACCCGTCCCCACACTGAAAAGCACGCCATGTATGTGTTTCCCCAGTACGAGACTTGTTGGGCAATCGTCCTTGGCGGATGAGCTTGCAAGCTCTTTCGGCCTCTGCAGCATCCGCGGCTTAAACGCGCAATGCGCGCACCATAAGCCACCGCCGCATTTGCTGCCGGGACTTGGCACATGCTCCGCTGGTGGATAAAGCTTGGAGCAGCACGGTATTGTGAGAAGCCTGCGTTCGGTCAGCTTTCTTCGAAGTCGTCTTGAAACTTGAAGAGGCCATTGGACTGTGGCCGGGTTGGTGCAGTTGCTATTGCAACTTTGAGTGAGTTTGCGTCCATGCAACCAAGGTAGCGACCTCGTGGCTGGTGGGTGTTGCAGACTGCGAAGCTCAGTTTGTTGTGACGAGCGGGCTGCTTGTCAGTGTATGGTTGTGATAACTTTCAGGCTGTCGTTGCTACTGGTGCCAGGATTGACACTTTCGTTTCAGCATTCAGGGCTTTGGCACTTGAGTTATCTAAGTTCTAAAGGTATGTGTTAGTCAGTTAGTCACTAAGCAAAAAGCTGACGCCATTGACTTTGGCAGCTGACGACAAAGGAACAAGGCCATGGCGCATTGTCGTCGCACCGTCGTCGCATCGTCGTCGCGTTGTCGCTGTGTCGTCGTCACACCGCCGCCGGACCGTTGTCGCATCGTCGCCGTGCCGTCGTCGCAACGTCGTCGTGTTGTCAGTTTCCTGGCCGTCAAGACCCGTCCTCTTATACTAGAAACCATACTCCACATGTCTTCAGAACTTAGATAACACTTGAGGTTCATTGTCAATCTGGGTTAGTGCTGCGAGGAAGGGAGCCAAGGCAATGATGACAGAATGGTCCGATCTGTCGCCCAGAGAGCAGCTCTCATACCCCACACAGCGAAACAACCATGATATGCCGTTTGCCATTGGACGCATGACATTTTCGTTGGACAAACGCTCGGCAAGCCGCCTCACAGCGAAAATTCCAAAGCTCACGACCTTTCAAACTCCATTATCACGTTCAGCTTGAAGAACTTGCTTAGGTGAGACGGTGTGCGGGCTGCAGGGGTTTCGGGAGCACCAGGACAGGTGCACATTTCATTCGGAACAGCAGAATCACTCCTCCTCGCTGAAGCACGCAAGTCAGAGGTACGGAGCTTGGGGCTGTAATTGTGGTAACTGTTGGATTCCCTGTGGCGGCCTGCTTTAACCACGCCAGAAGCAACTGAGGCCCGATCTTCATATCTTTTCCTGTTTGCAGGCTCATAGCAAAATGCCAGACCTGAACAATTTGAAAAAAGGTGTGCCAACATCTTCTGCTTGGAATTCCTGGGGCAGAATGAAAACTCGCAGTGTGATCAAAGTTGGTGTGCGTGGACTGTGGTTCGTGTAAGATTCTGCGAAACTGGTGCCCTTCTGTTGCATGGTGGTATGCAAGAAGAGCCGAGGCATTGCAAAGCCTACACCCACTTCCCCGGCCAAGTCCCGGATGAATATGACAGCGGACGTTTCCAGGATCCTACATTGTTGGACGGAGCTTACGGCTATGATTACAGTTACGGCTATGGCTACTTTTATGGCACTTCATACAGCGCCTACGGCCTCGGCAACACCGGGCCCATCAACTGTCCGGCAAAGAGCGGCGTCTGCTGTGTCAGGGGCGCCAGCTATCCTTATTCGCAGGGCAAGGCTGGACGGCTCGAAGGATTAGTGTTTCACCGTCGAGGGGTCGCTGCTATAAGCCAGCGCTTGTTGCGATACGATAGCCGATCCAAGTCCTACTTGTAGATCCCGCTGCTGCAAGTCATGGTTCCGGTTCGTCAGATATATAATGAACTCCAAAAGAAATGGTGCATGTGAAGTGCCGTCGCATCTTAGAGCATCAGTCTTCTCTGCAAACAAGTCATCATGGTGTCTGTGAATTTTGTGATGAGGACTGTGGGGCGACATAGGCATGACAATCATGAGAACACTTATATGTTATGTACTTTCGGTGGCAGTTTATACACTTCTAGGAAAAATGGAACAGATTTTCGTCAAAGTATATAATCTGTCACCCGAAAGCGCATATACTTTCGCCGGAAAGTGCACGCGTTTGCGCTGAGATGTCTGTAGAAACGCAGATGGAAATTGTAGATACACTCTTGCAACTTGTTCGCCTAAACGTGTTCCTCTTGCACTCGAAGAGAAGCATTTTGGAGAGGTGTGACAACAGTTTTTTGCACCCAGTCTTTGCAATTTTCAATTTTGCACAGCATCAGACATGGGTTCTTGCACCAAAATATAAGTTATATGAATTCCATTTGTTGTATAGTATACTAAATTATATTCATATTCATATATATATATATATATGCATGTATGTGTATTGCATCTGTATATGTATAGATACATACATACCTACATACATACATTGCGGTCGCCGGGGGAGACGCAAATCGCGAAAAGACACATTTTGAAGACAGTTGGGGCCGCCGTGAAGGCTCATTAGAACGGTATGCGAAGATACATGGGCGTCAGAAGACACATTCCGGATGAAGACACGTGGCGTCGCGAAGACGTCTTGAAAACACGTGGAGTTGACGCGTGCCTGTACGGGCTCTGATATTACGCCCCATCGGAGTTCCAGGTATTTAAAAGTTTGTCACCCCATCAGTTCTATGCTCCACCCTTGGAATTCAAGGTTTGTAGGAATTCTGATTTCGAAATCAAGGGCCCCCCATCAATCTGAGGCTCCACCTTGGAGTTCAAGCTTTGTAAGAGTTTTGATTTAAATATCAGGGACGCCCCATCGGTCCAAGGCTCTCTCCTTGGAGTTGAAGCTTTACGACTTTACTCCATCAGTTTAAGGCCTCACCCTCGGAATTCCAGTCCTACAGGGAGTTCTGAATTAAAATCAGGCGCGCCCGATCATGATCAGTCCAAGGTTCCATCCTTGGAGTTCAAGCTGCACGAGAGAACCGATTTTTGAATCATGTAGGCTCAATTTCGGCGCAAAGGCAAAGCAATGAGCTTCCAATATAAGAGTTCTGACCTGCAAATCAGGAGCACCCCGTCAGTTCCCTCGGAGTTGAAAGTTTGCAAGAGTTCTGATTTGAAAATTCAGGGCGCCCCATCAGTCCAACCAGCTTTGGGTTCCAACTTTACAAGATTTTACAAGAGTTCTGACTGCAAAATCAGGGGCGCTCATCAGTCCAAGGCTTCATCCAAGGAGTTGAACCATGTTGAACCTGCCACGGCTACTGCATTGCTGCTGCTAGTCTGCTGCTACTGCAACTGCTGCTGCTGCTGCTGCTGCTACTGCTACTGCTACTGCTACTGCTACTGCTACTGCTACTGCTACTGCTACTACTACTGCTGCTGGTGCTGGTGCTGCTACTGCCACTGCTACCGCTGCTACTCGCATGCGAGTGAAAAAAGCTACTTCTATTGTTACTAAAGCGCTACCAGCTCAAGCGGCGGCGAATTGTAGCCGTCGAATCAGGATAGCCTGTGGAGGATTTACTTAGTTCAGGCTGCGCATGGTACCGTTCTTACAGCTTTTGTGAGGCACCCTCCAGTTAAGCTTTCATGCTACCAGTGGTGTTTAGAGGGGCGCCAAAATTGCAGGCGTCGAATCAGGAGCTGGCCCGGTCCCAAATCCGGGCAAAGACAACAACTTACAAAGCAACTTCGTTCTGCCCCGAAACATCCCGAAACGTGAGGGTTCCCGTCTTTCCGCTGGCTTGCATTTCAGGAGAAACAGCGCGGAACAGCCACAGGGCTGTTTCATGTTCATGTTTGAACTGTCTGCAAAGCAGGTTTTGATTTCTATTCAGCTTTTACATGGATACGTTTCAGCATGTTTACAGATGCTCTCCGCCGATGCAGTCCCACCATGCCGAGCGACTGGAAAAAGCTCATGACTCCCTGTTGTGTGAGCGGCAGATCCCTGTAATGCCCCCGAGTCTTGCCTCTGGTCTTCGGAAGCTGAAATCGGATGGCACTGGCCAATGCTTGTACCTAATTTGGTATTGCTCACAGACCACACGAAAATTTGCTCGTTTCATATTACCAGCTTGGGATAATTTGAGATGGTGGCAAATGCACGCCAAGATCAACGAAGGGGATGTTTGATTGTTTCTACTTTCTATGTGCAGAGCCAGGGAAAGCCAGCGTCTACAGCGGTCCCACCTTGCTAAGTTTCTGGGTCAAGCAGCGAACTTCGAAGTCCAACTCGACGTCCAACCAACAACAGCAACAACCCAACCTCGTTTTCCACGCTGCAAGTACTTGTACGTGTGAGCTTTGTTCTGGGGGAGGCGATCTCCTTACAGTGCAACCTCGTCATAGTACTGGTCCTCGGAAGCTGTGGAACGTTGGCACTATCATGAACGCCATATATCTTTTGTTTGCTTGCCCTTCTTACTCACGAGCTTTTGTTCAGTTAATTAATGTCTTCTTTTAAGACGATGGCGAGCCAGAAGATGGGCAATCGGTGCGAGGGTCTTAGCCCCTTTTTTTGCCAGACGCGACTGTGCGGCATCCAGGCCTTCGGGTACACTTTGTCATGCAAAAGCAATGAATCAGCCTAGTAGTCCCATATGTCGGGTGAGGCCGGACCTGCCCGATCTGCGATTGTACACTCTGGATTTCTGGATCAGGCCGTTCTCGTGCAACCACCCACCTCTCCTCCATCCACCCATCCCACCTCCCAACTCGACCCTCTCCCACCCCGCCTCCCACCCTCCCAACTCCCACCTGACGGGAGGTGGGGTGGGAGAGGTGGGAGTTGGGAGGTGGGAGGCGCAAGTTCTGTGAGTGATACGTCAAAGCTTTGTTTTGCGAACAACCGCGCGTGCTGAGTCCTCGGACCGGCGCGCAAAGTGCAGTTTTGCGCCTCCGCACGACGGGCTGAGTCCACGGACCAACGTGTGAAGCAGATTGCTGCGAGGCAAAACTGGCCAGCTGTGGGGCCGTGTCTAGCCGTACTAGGCCTAGCCAGGTCCGTATGCTTTCTGGTTTTATGAACTTGCCCACGGGCTGGCCATTCATGAACAATGACAATGAGTAGCCGGATGCCCGCCAAGGTGCGGGACTACCCGCGCAAGCGTCTGAATGAATGAATGAATACTATTGCTCCTGCTTCAAAGGGCTCCGAGCGTCATGAATTGGAGTACGACAGGTCTGATCCCAACAGTTCAATTTTCCACCCTCGGAGTTCACGGTTTGTAAGAGTGTTGATTTAGAAATCAGGGGTGCCCCATCAATCTGAGGCTCCACCCTCGGAGTTCCAGGTTTGTACAGTTGCCAAAGATCTCGCAAGCCTCGCCAAATTGCTCGAGCGCGAGTGCAGTTCTGATTTAAAAATCTGGGGCGCCCCATCAGTCCAAGGCTCTCTCCCAAGGTTCCACCAGTTCAACTTAGCAAAAGTTCTGATTTCCAAAGCAGAGGCACCCTTAACAGTCCAACGCCTTATCCGTGAAGTACGAGAGGTCTGACCCCCATCAGTTCAAGGTTCCACCCTCGTACTTCAAGGTTTGTAAGAAGTCTGATTTACATATCAAGGGCCCCTCCTTGGACTTGATGCTATACGATTTTACGAGACGCTCAGTTTCAACATCCGAGGCACCCCATCAGTCCAAGGACTCAATCTCGGAGTTCCAGCATGTCCGAGTCTTACTGCTGAATCTCGGAGTTCCAGTCCTATAGTACTATAGGAGTTCTGAACGAACTGATTTTAGAATCAAGGGCATGTAAGAGTTGATTTCGGGGGTGCCCTATCAATCCAAGGCTCCACTCTCGGAGTTGAACGAAGAGTTCAAATCAGCGGCACGTCATCAGTCCACGGCTCCATACGGCTCCATCCGTGGATTAAAACCAGGAACACCTCCTCAGTCCTAGGCTCCGCCCCTCGGAGTTCAAGTTTCAATTGCAGGGACACCCCATCCGTCCAATGCTCCATCCTTGGAGCTCAAGCTGTGCCAGAGGTGAAAGGCGGTGGTGTGGAATTTGGTGTTTGGGAGCAGCGAACTTGTCCCATCTTCCTGTTCCACGTCCCCTCCTCCTCATAATTGCGATGTCGCTCGACCTTGTCAGGCAACCTGACCTCCACGACCTTGAACCGGTAATATTCAATATTATGTAGGTGCAATTTCGATGCAATGGGAAAGCAATGAGCGCAAACGGCGGGCCTTTCTCCAGTTGCCTCCCGTCCAATGTTTATAAGAGTCTGACCTTCAAATCAGGAGCACCCCGTCAGTTCAAGGATTCACCCTCGGAGTTGAAAGTTTGCAAGAGTTCTGATTTGAAAATTCAGGGCGCCCCATCAGTCCAACCAGCTTTGGGGTTCCAACTTTACAAAGATTTCTGACTGCAAAATCAGGGGAACTCATCAGTCCAAGGCTTCATCCAAGGATCTCAACCTGCTGCTGCGATTGCACTGCTGCTGCTGCTACTGTTACTGCTCCTGCAACTGCTACTGCTACTACCACTGCTGCTGCTGCTATCACTATACTGCTACTCTTACTACTACTACTACTACTACTACTACTACTACTACTACTACTACTACTACTACTACTCCTACTACTACTACGACGACTACGACGACGACGACTACTACTACTCCTACTGCTACTGCTACTACTGCTACTACTATTTCTAGTGCTGCTTCTTCTATAAGGAGACCGGGGGTCATGAAAATGGAGGGATTTCAAGATAGCTAAATGTTGCGGATGCGTATTCTGCCTTCCCTCGTGCTCTCGGCTAACCTGGTCGAGTTTTGGGCCTTTAGGATTCTCGAGTTC